CAGTAAAATGTTTACCTTTTGGTGTCCATACAACAAAGTAGCAATATTTTCTGTTTGTTATATGCAATTGCCCTTGTACTTGGTAGTAGTAAGAATGGTTTTTTTTTAAAAATAATTTACCCGATTGCATATCCATAAACTTTAACTTTTTTGCTTTGTGTGCATCTTGGGGAGTAAAATTTTTTATAGAAAATGGACATTTTATCTCTATTATTGAATCATCCTCAATAAGCCCATCTGGTGTTGCTGCCAAAAATGGCAGATGAGGGTCAACAAACAATCCAGCTGGGGCTACTTTGTATCCGAATAGCTTCTCAAATTCGTCCTTTGCAATAGATTCAAATTGAATCCCATATCTAATTTAAACAAAAATGTTAAATTATTAATTTAAGTTATTTTGGCTGGTAAATTCAAAATTGTGAACTTTGGTTTTCGTTGAAATTTACAGTCCCTACCGTAAAAATTGTATTATTGACAACAAAATAAGGAAATAAAATAATATTAGTTTTACTAATTATTTACCATTAAAAATTACCTTGTAGCAGCAGTACCATGAAAATACTCTGATTGGTATAAAACTGAGATTACACTATTTTTCCTGGAAGTGGTTTTTCGTAATTTACAAATTTTCCCAAAATTGGATGCAGTTAACCTTTTGGACCTCTCTTTTTTCCATTTCACACAATTCGCCTGTTCAACCGTTCGACGCTGTAATTCGTCAATTTCAACCATATTTAATTTCAAATTTGTCAACAACTCTAATTTTTTTTCTTCAAAATCTTCACGCGACATAGGTAACGTCTGACAACCTAATTCATCATTCACAGCTCCATAATCGGCGTCCGGTCCATAAATAATTTTTTTCCGTATTTTAAGACTACAATTTTTTTTTAAATACATCATGATTTTACTATATTGTTACCTATACTTTATACTCTATCAACCTATAGGTACTTAATTACTATATTATTAATGTTATTACTTAGTATTAGTGGACGATTTATAGCTAAGTCGACGTCTTTTGTCGAGTCTTTGTTTTATTTCCTTAGAAATATATTGCTTTGTATATTTTCCCGGGCTGAAGTTAGTTACTTTTTTATGAAATTTTCTGAGATGATAAGGGCCATAATTATATGCAGATACTGCGGTATGACAACGGACATTATATGAGCCTACATTTGTAAAATATATAGTAAATAATAATAAAATTATATACAATAGGATATTGAAGCACTACAAAATATATAGAAAAAATTGCTTTGGCTCAAAAAACTCATTCATAAACAGAAAAATTCCAAAAAATTAGTTACCTCTAAGAGAATAGTTGATACGTTTTCCGCCTACATACTTAGCAACTATACTATTGTAGCCTTCAACACAATTGTTATTGACATGGTGAATTAAACTATTAGCGTGATAAGCTACCAAGTTTAAAGCTGCCATTAAATCAGTCCATACACCACATTTTTGTAATTCAGGGACAAAATTATTTTCATTTGCTTTTATATCCACACAGAAATATCTGAACAAAATTACAATTTTAGACTGTTTTATCAGGTACACAAATTAATTCAGTATAATGCTTACCTGTCACATCTATCATGGCATCCAAATACATGAAAAGATCCATTCAAAATATCATTTTTCAGTAACTTTACTTTTTCAGTGAGTGAAATATTCATTTCTTTTCTGTATTGTATAGCCTTCGTCACAGCAAATCTGTAAGTAATATAACATAAATTAAGAGTTATAATCATTTCTAGTACTGTTTTTAACTTTTAAGTGTTTACTTACCTTAACCTCAATAAATTAGCTTTTATTTTGGTTCTAATATACCCGGGAACAACATTATCAGATGAACACTTTCTTTGTGTAGAAATTTGTCTAATACGATTAGAATAATTCCGTAAAATATGGTTACTACATTCAATTTTTTGAACTATTATATCATCTCCGTAAGGTTTCTTTATTCGTAGTTTTTTAATAATGCTACTGTCACCATCTCCAATAAGACTGTTGTAAATTAAATTATGGGTTTCAATACTTTGGCAAAACCCATCAACGATAATATCACTCTCCATAGCAGTCGATGTTCCAGTCCAGTTTTTGTAACATACGTGGGTGGAGGGCATTTTTTTAAAAAACTCTGCTTTTTGACATATGGAACAATACTTATTACGAACTCCAATATATAGCACCTTTTTGGTTTTATATCCAACTATACAAGCCTGAACAAAATCATTTTTAACATATCCAAATTTTAGATTCTGAGTATTTTTAGATTACAAAAAATTGGTTTTTTTCTATATATTAGTTAATTAATCATAATTTCTAAAGGAACTGAGTTAGAAACTTGACATTTTTTAACTAATTTTTAAACTAATAAACGAACTTATTTGTTGTAAATATAAAACTAAGAACACTTACCACTCCAGATAGCGCATTATAATTGGAACGATAGGATCGTTTAGACCAAGCTCCGTCAGCTACTACGGTTATCATTGGGATTCCGTCTTTATTTACATCTCCATTTTCGTACGCGATCATAGCTTCTTCTTTCGCTGCTTTTTCAGTCGCCTCCCAAGATATGTTTTCCATTTGCTTCCCTACTTCTTCGTGAAGCTTTTGATATGTAGGATTAGACAAACATGGCATATTTAAAGTTGCGGAAAATTGCTCAAGACTTGAAAAACCTTGTCCAGTATTTATACAAGATACTACCATTGCCAAGTTAATAGGGATGGTTTCTTTTGGACACTCTGTACCAACAATTTCTTCTTTGTTACATATTTTACATTTAAAAACAAACTCACTATAAAATCCTGAACGAGTTTCTTTTATCAATTTTAAATCTGAAAAAGTACAGCTAAATGGTTCATGCTTTATTTTAGAAATAGTGTCAAAAACATATTGCATATCTACAATCCGTCTGCCATGAATTAAGCATACCCTAAAAATGTGTAAAAAATTTAATGTACAATTTTAGAAACCATGTGGTAGGTAAAAAATATTTTAATAAATATAATAAATGCTTTGAAACACGGCCGTATACTCTTATCATAATTAAATTATAATTTAATTTTGATTAGATTTATCTTAGAAAAAATAAATGTAATATACATATTTTATAACTCACTCATCTTTTGGTCCTTTTTCATTTTTACGGTCAAATATGACTGATCGATCAGATGAATCTAACATATTCATATGTGATGACTCTACGGTCTCTACGTTATTACTTTCACATCCATTATCATCGTTTATTTCTTCACTAAATAATAAAATCATTATAAATAATTACCGGGTATTAATAATTAACAACTTTATTAGGATTTTAATCGAAAAAATTCGGTATTTTACGTCAAAATAATGATTTTCGTTAAAATTTGAACTTTAAACTTTAAACGCAAATGTCAATATTAATTTGGATCAAAATATTAAAAACTAATTTATGAACGTAAAATAGCTATATGTAGGACAAAAATTTGAGTACTTCTAGTGGCTCAATATAAAAAATTTAAAGATGTATGAATGCATAAAGAAGTTTACTTTGCATTGGTTGGAGCAATTTTTCAATTTTAGTAAATTCTTGACAATGAATAAACATGAATAATTTTTAAAATTTGTAAATTTGTAAAGTTAAGTATATTAAAAAATATTAAAAATGTGCTCTGACCGATACAAAGTAAACTTATTTACCAATCCAAGCATCTTAACATATTTTAGAAAATTAAACAACTTCTAGTACCAAAATTTTTGTCAGCCACATAGGTCGTTTTAATAAAAATTGATTGGGTTTGCAACGTCCTTTATAAAAATATAAATTTTATATATTACTTTATTAATAATAACAAACTGAATTATGTAAATACGAACATTGTAGAACTACTCTGGTCTAGAATATTGTCATTGCTATGTGGTTGATATTGCGGTGTCGAAGAATCAGAGTTTTCCTGCATAGCCACGCATAAAAACACAGAAAAATGTTTAAAATAAAAAACTAAAAATAACATTCAAAGAATACAAATAATTACAATTTAACTTACTGTATTATGTATGCGATTTAAACGCCATTTGTGTATCGCTTCTATATGTCCTTTATGTTTTTTTAATTTGGACAATCTAACTCTTTTTTTTTTTCTTGTTACTAGATCGTTTTCCATTATACAAATCAATTAAAAAATGTTTATTTGAAAAGAAAACGCTATTCAATTAAATAATTTTATAAGTAAAAAAACTTATTTTATTTTTAAATTGTTTATTCATTAGCTCACCGCACAGAAAAAGAATAAACAGAGTGAACCGTGTTCATAGAATAGCCGGTGACTTTCGATAACGATGTTTCGTAATCGTATTGATATAAATAGTTTGTGGCGAGAGGGAACCACATCCGCACGCACACGAGCAAGTCACCAAATGTCGCGCACGGCGTCGCTTACGAACGGAGATTATTTGTTGAAAGCATGTACTTTTTGTCCACTGTACCGATGTAACTACTTTTGCGATAAGAAATCTGAAAACATATTTTTATTCGTTATGAAGTTTATTTGTGATCGATCATCCCATTTTTTTGATTTTTTTTTTTTTAATTCGGTTTATTCACTGTTTAAAAATTCAAAAATTGTTAGTTTTTAAATCAAATGTAAGGGGGGGATAAGAGCCAAAATTTAAAAAAATGCGATGATCGATCACAAATAAACTTCATAACGAATAAAAATATGTTTTCAGATTTCTTATCGCAAAAGTAGTTACATCGGTACAATGGACAAAAGTTGGCATGTTTTCGTCAAAAAAACGATCGGTTTTGAATCCCACTAGTTTAATTCATTCTACTATTCTAAATGTATGGGTAAATGGATACCGTATTTATAGGCAGCCATTTAGGATAAGAGTAAGGTCGATGGGGATTCTGCCGGATGTGAACAAGGAAGCTTGTTTCTGTGATATTGAAAATAGGCTCTGTTCCGTAGGAACTGCATATCAATACGAATAAGTATTGATATTGGTTTCCGTTTCGG